CAATGTCTTCGACCACCAGGCCTACCCGATTGAACTCGGGGCCTCGATCTTTGTCAGCGTCAACTACAATCTGGTGAATGCATCCAGAGACCTGGGCCTGAACGCCCGGAGCGCCAGCTATGAGCGACCCTGCGAGACCGACGACACCATCGGCATCTGGGACGGGGACCAGATGGTGTTCGTGTTCAAAGACACCTCTGGCTGGTGGAACCTTGCCAAATTGCTTTGGCGATATGGATTGGCACCAGTCAACGCCTACCGACTGATGAAGTCGACCGTCAACAAGTTCCTGCAACTCTACGACGGACCCATGTTCCCGTTCCGGTCCCTCACCCAAGCCACCGAGGCCGTTGGGCTCCTGAACACCGTCGCCGTGCCCGGGTTGGAGTTCCTGCGACTCAACCGCATCTCCGATCTCTTCTCCCGCGAGATCGTCCAAGCCAGCACGCGCGTCAACTACGGACAGAACCTAGGCCTCATCCACGGCCTCGAGACGATGGTCTGCCTCGCCACCGACGGCGCCATGGCCATTGAAGGCGGCAACTGGCAGATCTTCGACGGCATGCTCAAGGCCGCCGGGGCCGACGTGCGTGTGAATCACACCGTCACATCCATCAACTGGGACGCCCAGAACCCACAACACCGTCCCACTAGCCTCACATTCAAGGCCAGCAGCACCTCTTCTTCAGCTCAGACCGAAGGAGAAGAATTCGATGAAATCGTCATCGCCGCCCCTTTCCAGTTCACCGACATCACCACCACCCCACCCCTCCAGAGCACCCCCAACGATGTCCCCTTCGTAAAACTACACGTAACTCTCTTCTCCTCCCCGCACCGCCTCTCGCCAGCCCACTTCAACCTCTCCGGACCCAACACGCCCGAAACCATCCTCACCACCCTCCCCCATGACCTCGACCCTACCGTAGGCAAAGCCGAAAAGGGCGTCGGCCCCGCCGACTTCTGGAGCATCAGTACCCTCCGCACCGTGGTTCCTCCTCCTTCGGAATCCGAAGACGACCAACCACAGCGGCCGCAAGAGCACTACGTCTACAAGATCTTCTCCCCCGAACGCCCTACCGCCACCTTCCTCCGCTCGATTCTCGGGCTCGCGAATTCCCCAGTAACTGCCACTGCCTCGTCCATCGAAGACCTCCCAAGCAAGGACATCAGTTGGTTCCATGAAAAGGTCTGGCGGCCTTATCCGTTCGTCTATCCGCGAGTGACCTTCGAGGAAATCGCGCTGGCGCCCCACGTATGGTATACCGGGGGCATTGAGAATTTCATCTCGACGATGGAGACGAGTGTGTTGATGGGGAAGAATGTGGCGGCTTTGATGGTGAAGGAGTGGGAGGAACAGAGGGAGAAGGCCGAGGCGGCGATGGGATCAATGGGGTTCAGCCAATTTGACGATGGGAAGGTTGAGCTGTGAGGTGTAGACATGACTTGGAGAATTGGTCAAAAGAAAGAGCACAGATTGGCGGATGGCATGAGAAGGGACCCCAAGGCACTAACTTATTGGAACTACGTATAAACGACCCGATAGAGCGCTACTGCCACTGCTACGACATGAAAACACATGTGAGAAGTTGAACTTCATGAATTATTAACTCTGAGTTATCTGATACTGATACTAAACTCAGTCAAGGCGGTTAAAGCCTTTGATTTCCAACCACGAACTTTTCCGGTCCTGTTGAAGAAAGTGTTGAAGAAAGCATCCTGGTGCTTATTTTTTTTCTCTCAAATCATTCACACATGCTCATGCATATCCATGTCCCATGACCCGCGTAAGGTTGAAAAAGCAGTCCTGTATAAAACCCCTGTATAAAACGACACACCGGCTAGATGTTGAACTCGAAAACCAAAACAAAACCATAAAAAGAAGATGTGGTATCATATTGTTGAAGGCTACCCCGGGGCAGTGATCACACTTAGACGGGGAGGGGGAAGGTGCTGGCCCACTGGGCAATCTCCTTGCGGAGCTCGAGGATCTCGGGGACGGTCTCGGAAGCAACCTTGGCCTTGAAGTCCTTGAGCTTGTTGGCACCCTGGGGCAGCTCGCTCTGGACCTGCTTGCAGATGTTGATGGACTGGTCAATGTAGCGAGCAATGCGCTTGAAGTCATCCTCGGACATGCCACGGGTGGTCATAGCGGGGGCACCAATGCGGATACCGCAGGGGGTGAGAGCGGACTTGTCACCGGGGATGGAGTTCTTGTTGCAGGCAATGTTGATCTGCTCAAGGACAGCCTCAACACGGGCACCGTCGAGGCTCTTGGGGCGGAGATCGACGAGAACCATGTGGCTGTCGGTACCGTCAGAGACGAGCTTGTGGCCCAGAGCCTTGAACTCATTCTCAAGGGCCTTGGCGTTCTTGATGACCTGCTCCTGGTAGAGCTTGAACTCAGGGGAAGCAGCCTGCTTGAGGGCAACGGCAAGGGCAGTGATGGTGTGGTTGTGGGGACCACCCTGGTGACCAGGGAAGACGGAGAAGTTGATGGGACCCTCAAGGTCGTACATGATGTCCTTGCCGGTCTTGGCGTCGTGGCTGCGGACACCCTTGCGGAAGAAGATCATGGCACCACGAGGACCACGGAGGGACTTGTGGGTGGTGGTAGTGACGACATCGGCGTACTCGAAGGGAGAGGGGATAACACCGGCGGCGATCAGACCGGAGATGTGAGCCATGTCGACAACGAGGTAGGCGCCAACCTTGTCGGCGATCTTGCGCATACGCTCGTAGTCAATGAGACGGCAGTAAGCGGAGGTACCAGCGACCAGGATCTTGGGGCGGTAGAGCTCGGCGTTGGCCTCAAGGGTATCGTAGTCAATGATACCAGTCTCAAGGTTGACACGGTAGGGGAAAGTCTCGAAGTAGGTGGAGACAGCAGAGATCCTGCAGGATAGACGTTAGCAGCTGACTCAGATCGACAAGGAAAAGCTTGAAAAGAGCTTAGAACAGCTTTAGAGACGTACTTGCGGGCAGGAGTCTGGTAACCGTGACTCAAGTGACCACCGTGGGGGAGGTCGAGACCCATGAGGCGGTCGTGGGGGCGCATGAGAGCCTGATAGACCTGGAGGTTGGCAGGGCTTCCACTGAGGCACTGCACGTTGACACCCCACTTCTCGGAGTCGAGGTTGAAGGCCTTGAGGGCACGAGCCTGGCAAGTAAGCTCGATGGCATCGATGTGCTGGTTACCACCATAGTAACGGGCACCGGGATAACCCTCAGAGTACTTGTTGGACATGGGAGAGCCAAGGGCATTGAAGACGGCGTGGGAGGTGAAGTTCTCCGAAGCAATCAGGACAATGGATTCACGCTGACGCTGGATCTCTTTCTCCTATAGACTTTCATGTTAGAATTGTTCTTAATCCTTGGTTATTGAAGAGGAATTGGAAGGCTAGACATACCATGATCTGAGCGATCTCAGGATCGGACTCGACGAGAGACTTCTCCATTTGCTGCACCGATGAGTCAGTCAACTGCTTTGGTTCTTTCGCAGGAGCATGGGAAGTACTTACGTCCCGGTGGGACTGGGGGAGGGCGTAGGTGGCCATTGTGTGTAATGTGAAGATGGAGGAGGGGATGGGAAGGAGAATAGAGGAAAGAAAAGAGATGGGATGAGGAGGGAAAGAAAGAAAGAGAAAGGAAGATTGAAGGAGAGGGAAGGGGGGGGGGGAGGTAGAAGAAGAAGAAGTAGGAAGATCTGGCGGGGTGGGGGGAAGAAGATGCGGCGGACTGGGTCGGGAAGGGAAAAAAGTTGCCTCAGGACGGAGGTCACAGACCAATCTTTCCTTTCCTCCTTTCCTCCTTTGAGCCCCGCAGTCCGAACTGAACGGGAGGCAAAAGAAAAAATAATTCCCACTAAGAAAAATCCGGAGGCGGTCGCAAGTCCGGGAACGACATCGGAGCCGTGCTTGAGAAAACCCGCCGACTCCTCCGTGGGTTACGGAGTGTTTGTTCTATGCTGTTAGTCGCCGCTATTATTCATCGCCTGCCTCATTCCTTTCTCTGTCAAAAGTCAATCATGTAGCTTGCACATCATTTTCCTTTGATTGGTGCTCTAATACGACATTCCGAATAAATAAATTGTCTAGGTTCAAACCAAACCGCCCAACCGCCAAACCGCCAGAAAAATTGGATGCTAGTAAAACCACGGTCTGACTCACCGTCGCAAAGTATCCACTGGAGCTTGCTCGCCGAGCAAGCAAGCGGCACCAGCAATTCAACCCCCGATGGATACTAATCGGACCAGTTTACGTATATGTAGTGCATTATTTCCGACTATACGAAAGCCGGAGCTGGATTCCAGGTCACGCAAGCAAGCCTTACAAGTAGAGATAATATTCACCAATATTTAGAAGCTTCATCAACTGTTTTTCTGGGTTTACGCAGACGTCCGTTCCCCGCAAAGCCCCAAAAAGAAACTGCAACTCACCCCTTCGCCTGCCATCAGGTCAATGATGACTCCGAAAGTCCTTCCTTGCAGATCAATTCCACCTGATGTATCTGCAGGTTTCATCCCAATGCAGAATGAGGACCGTGGAGGCCAGAGGCGGGGTTGTCAAGCATAATGAACAGCACTTCCCACCTGCAGGATTGATTGAGAGCAGCTTTTTTAAGAGCAGCATCTGTGAATCATTGTTCAGCCACTAGCATGCTGCTAGCATGCTGCTAGCATGGCAAACGTAGGTGGTGAAGGTCAGAACGGCCATTGTGGTAAGTACTATTCAAGTATCTGCAGTTCTCGAACAGCTGCAGTGGCAACTTATTGCCTTGTATTGCTGTGGCTTCAGGTAGAGTACGCGGGCCTCTTCATAGCGCAGCGACCTTCAATCAACAACAGTCTGAGTCAATTGACCGTGTCAACAGCCAGGGGTTCGATGATCAGGCTACATTGCAGTGTGCTGGGCCACTAAAACCAGCATCTGTGGAATACCCAACCCAACAATCGACATGATTCACTCGGATGATCCAGCGTGTCCAAGTTTGCATGCTTGATACTAGTCGCCTGCGAGAAGAAGCGACCTGCGCCCATGGTGATGACCGAAATCATGGCAGACCATATTTTCTATCCCTCAGAGCCCTCAAGGTTCAGTGATTCTTGACTTTCCCGCACTCCGAGGACTGGCTCTCCGGCCAAAATCAGAGATGACTGATTTGAGCTTTGCGATACGGTCCTCGAGCTCCTGGATCTCCACCTCCTGCTCTGCAACAGAGCGGTCGACATCTGGCAAATTCTCCACCACTGTCTGCGCTTTCTGGATTCGGATCTTGATCGAGCTGACTTCGGTCGGGAGATCTTTGATGTCGAGCGGTGGGGGTGCATTCGATCCCAAGGCTGCAAGTTCGGCCGAGGCGGAAACCGGTCCAGGTCCTGCGGATGGAACAGTCACCAGCACTCCAGGGTGGCCGTGGCTTTCATTCCCAGGCTGTGAGTGAGACTGGCCAGGAGCACTTGTGGGTTGTCCGACCGGGCCCGAGCCTCCACTGTTGACTTCTGCGGCCCTGACACCATTCCCAGCCGTCCCGGGGGATGCAAGCAGGCGAAGCAGAAGACCGTGCAATGGCGGAATGATATCAAAAGTCTGCGGGGGCGGGAATGGAACCGCTTGAGGTGTAATGGGGGTGTCCTTCACGATGGGGGTTTCGGGCGCGGAGGGTGGTGGTTTCGCTGCGGGTGTGAAGGCCGTGGGGGATCTGGACGCCATTATCGGAAGAGGGAGGACACCGGGACGGCGAAAGTCGGCTTAGTGTATTCTTGCGTTGCAGTATGAAAAACTGACAGCAGCAGGAGTGGGAACTGAGCAAGAGACGAAATATGGGGCCCCTTATTTCGGGTTGCTGGGTAATTGTTTAGGGAAGAGCCGGAACGTGGAGGTAAGTTTGTTGTTGCGGGCGGACAAGACCGGCAGGAGAAAGAAGTGCGGGCAGTGAGCAAAGCTGAGCAGTGAGCAGTGAGCAGTTGGCGGTTAGCAGAGGAAGTGACGTCGGGAAGAAAACAACCCCAAAGCGTCACCGGGAAGAAAAAGCCCAAGCCTGGAAAAGAGCCCCTCCCCCTCAATCCATCATCCCAACCCAGTTGTTTTCACCGGGCCAGCCTTTTTACTCCGATCTCTCCACCTACTCTTCTTCCTCTTTCGTTCTTTCTTTTTCTTTTTTTCTTGATTCTCTTTCCCCTCCTTGCTTCAATTCCTCTTCCTATTATCCCTTCCCAATTATTCAAATTCAAGTAAGTATACGGTATATCTTTTTCCCATTCCCCAATCACGATGCTTGGAACTATACGTCGCTACTATACCTACCCTTCCTTTGCCCCGCCGTTGAATTCGCTGACCAGCCAATTTCCATTCAGCACAACTTCACCATGGTTAAGGTTGATCAGAAGGTCGCTTTGAGTAAGTCATTCCCCTTGACCACTCTATACTAAATCCATTCGACTAACACTTCTGCTCAGTCGTCATCGATGGCTGGGGTGTCGCCGGCCCCGACTCCCGCAAGGACGGTGATGCCATCCTCGCCGCAGAGACCCCCTTCATGTCCGGCTTCGCCGAGGCCGACTCCAAGACTGCCCAGGGTTACACCGAACTCGATGCCTCGTCCCTCGCCGTCGGATTGCCCGAGGGTCTCATGGGCAACAGTGAGGTTGGCCACTTGAACATCGGTGCTGGTCGTGTCGTCTGGCAGGACAGCGTCCGCATCGACCAGACCCTGAAGAAGGGTGAGCTCAACAAGATCGACAACGTCGTCGCCTCCTTCAAGCGGGCTAAGGAGGGCAACGGCCGTCTGCACCTGTTGGGTCTGGTCTCCGACGGTGGTGTCCACTCCAACATCACTCACCTGGTCGGTCTGCTGAAGGTTGCTAAGGAGATGGAGATCCCCCAAGTCTTCATCCACTTCTTCGGTGATGGACGTGATACCGATCCCAAGAGTGCCGCCAAGTACATGCAGCAATTGCTTGACCAGACTAAGGAAATTGGCGTCGGTGAGATCGCTACCGTCGTTGGCCGCTACTGGGCCATGGACCGCGACAAGCGCTGGGACCGTGTCGAGATCGCCATGAAGGGTATCGTCACCGGAGAGGGTGAAGACAGCGAGGATCCCGTCAAGACGATCAACGAGCGCTATGAGAAGAAGGAGACCGACGAGTTCCTCAAGCCTATCATTGTCGGCGGCAAGGACAGACGTGTCCAGGGTATGTTTTCACTTCCTTTCGGGGCGTGGATGAATAGGCGTACTGACGGATAATGTTCGACAGACAACGACACCCTGTTCTTCTTCAACTACCGCTCTGACCGTGTTCGTGAGATCACCCAGCTGTTGGGTGACTACGACCGCTCCCCCAAGGCCGACTTCCCCTACCCCAAGGACATCCACATCACCACCATGACCCAGTATAAGACCGATTACACCTTCCCCGTTGCTTTCCCCCCTCAGCACATGGGTAATGTGCTGGCTGAGTGGCTCAGCAAGAAGGACCTCAAGCAGTGCCACGTTGCCGAGACCGAGAAGTATGCCCACGTCACTTTCTTCTTCAACGGTGGTATCGAGAAGCAGTTCGACGGTGAGGTGCGCGACATGATTCCCTCGCCTAAGGTTGCCACCTACGACCTGGACCCCAAGATGAGCGCCAAGGAGGTTGGTGAGAAGATGGCCGAGCGTCTTGGTGAGGGCAACTTCGAGTTCGTCATGAACAACTTCGCTCCCCCCGACATGGTCGGCCACACCGGTGTCTATGAAGCTGCCATCGAGGGTGTTTCTGCCACCGACAAGGCTATTGGTGTCATTTACGAGGCCTGCAAGAAGAACAACTACATTCTGTTCATCACTGCTGACCATGGGTGAGTCGTTATCGTAATTCTGATTGATACGACCCGCTAACAATTCCCTCCAGAAACGCCGAGGAGATGCTCAACGAGAAGGGCACCCCTAAGACCTCCCACACCACCAACAAGGTTCCTTTCATCATGGCCAACGCTCCCGAGGGTTGGAGCCTCAAGAAGGAGGATGGTGTCCTCGGTGACGTCGCCCCCACTATCCTGGCTGCCTTGGGCGTTGAGCAGCCTGAGGAGATGTCCGGACGCAGTCTTTTGGTTAAGGCATAGATTTAGTGTATAGAGTATATTTCAGGTTTCTAGATACGGCGATTTATGAAGCGATGAATCTTAATGGAGCGCCCGAAGGGCATCAAGTGAATTGTAGAGCGTGATTGGTTACACACATGGAACAATTAGGATATTGAATTGGTAGCTCCCTGGAACCCGGTAATATTACTTTAAGCGATATGATGGTTCTTTCTGTCCCTTTTAGAGACAGTATCACCGGTGATCGATTGAGGAAGAGGCAAGAAACCACAAAACTGAATCGTTGCAAGGGTATCTTAAACCACATACTTTTTCCATCAACCAGTAAAGTAGGCTGGCTAAGGCCCCACACTGGAAATCTCACCAATCGTCTCTCTACATCGTCGTCCGAGTTGAATGCAACTGTGTTGCTGAGATATCAACCCGCGCATTATCGCCGACAATGCGAGTGCATTCAGGTCCGTCGTTCTGATGCACCCGTCCCTGCCATGCTTCGAAGGTGTGGGGGGCCGTTCATCGTTCTTCTAGAGCTAACCCAGTATACCATCCTTCACCACTCAAGCAGAAGCAGCGGCGGCTTGTTGCTGGACCTGAGTCTGGAACTGAACGATCTGTAGAATCCATCAGAATCAGTTGTCCCATCTTCGGACCCCAATCAAGTCAAGCTTACCTCGGTACGCTTCTTGTCCGCCTTGTCCTGGTTCTCCTGGATTTGTCCCTCGATCCGCTTACTGTAGCTCAATCATTAGACCTCTTTTTTAGTACTTGTGCGGGATATGGTGGGTGGCATACATCTCCTTCTCAATGAACTCCAACCGTCCATTGACAGCCATCACCGCCTCAGTCTTGTCCTGCTTCAACAGCACGGGACCGATCAGCTTATAGATGTTGGACTCGTCATCGAGCGAGTCGAATTCCTTCTGTACACCCAAGTTCTCCTGTTGCTGAGATTCGAGCTTTTGGCGCGCATCGACAAGACCGTCGAGCTCTGGCAGTGAATTCTCGTTAGCAAATGAGCTTCCCTACACATATGACGCGATTGCGCTGCGCTGGATGGACAGCCCACGGGCGGAGATTCAAAAAGAGTACCCACCAGTCTGCAATTGCTGGAACTCATCCGAGAGTGCCTGCATTTTCTTCTGAGCGTCCGCCATTTTTGTGATATGTTGTTATATAGGGTTCTATAGGACTATTGAGAAGGAGGGGGGAAAGTTAACCAACAGAATAGGCTGTGACAAGGTGCGGGCGGGCAGCAGCAGCGGCGGCGGCTCGGAGGGGCAAAAACGGCCAGGCGGAGCGGCAGAAAACCAGAGACGGTAAACAACCCATTGGGGGGAACGAGGACGGGTTCAACTTGTTGCCATCTCAACTTAACCTACCTCTCTCTCTCTCTATCTCTCAATCTCATTCAGTTTCTTCTACAATTCGTTCCCCCCAGGAGTATCTTCAGCATAATAGATTACTTGGGATCTTGCGCGATTTCAACCTTGTGATCCAGTCGCAAGACTTTGTTGCTACACTGATCTCATACCTAATCACCTAGTACCAAGCAACCAATCAACCCAGCCACTCCTCGGTCTCGGTCTAGGTACTGTCATTCTCCCCGCCTTTCGCCCTCCTCCGTTCCCTGTCCGTGTGTCCCTGGCATCCTCCCTCCACCACCCCTTCAAAGCCTCATTACGTAGCCGGGAGAAAAAAAAACAAAAAACCAAACTACCTTGTCAGCCCGCGCGCTTGCTTTCTTCTTCTCACCTCTTTGTTCATTCAACACAGCCATGAGCAACACCGACTTCCTCGGCCGGGCAATTGACACCGTCAAAAAGGCCATCGAGAACGACAATGAGGGCGAATACGAGAAGGCCTACCAGCTCTACTACTCCGCCCTGGAGCTATTCATGCTGGCTCTGAAATGGGAGAAGAACCCCCGCTCCAAGGAGATGATCCGCGCAAAGACCGGCGAATACATGGATCGCGCCGAGAAGCTCAAGAACCACCTCGCCTCGCAGGAGGGGCGGAAGAAGCCGAGTGCTGTCGGCGCGAATGGGAAAATCGCGCAAGGGAGTGGGAAGGGAGGGTATGTTTTCATGCCACAAAAAGAAGAAGAGGCTCTCGTTCCATGCTTTTCTTCTTCATCGGGAATCATTCTGGATCGGCTGGATACTGACAATTGACTGTTTCACTTTGTAACAGGAAAGAAGATGACGATGGTGAGGATGCCGATGCGAAGAAGTTACGGTCCGCTCTGGCGGGAGCGATTCTGTCGGATAAACCGAACGTCAAGTGGGAGGATGTTGCAGGTCTGGAGAGCGCGAAGGAGGCCTTGAAGGAGGCGGTCATCTTGCCGATCAAGTTCCCGCATCTGTTCACGGGGAAGAGACAACCGTGGAAGGGTATCTTGCTGTATGGGCCGCCCGGTACGGGTAAATCGTATCTTGCCAAGGCCGTCGCGACGGAGGCGAACAGTACCTTCTTCAGTGTCAGTAGCAGTGACTTGGTGTCCAAGTGGATGGGTGAGAGTGAAAGGTATGGATGCTTGCTCGTGTTTGTGAGACTAGACAGAATAATGGGGCGCTAATGGTTTCCCTTTCACAGGCTCGTGAAGCAGCTGTTCAACATGGCCCGAGAAAATAAGCCCGCCATCATCTTCATTGACGAGGTCGATGCCCTCTGCGGCCCCCGTGGAGAAGGAGAGTCTGAGGCGTCCCGTCGTATCAAGACCGAGTTGCTCGTGCAGATGGACGGTGTCGGAAAGGACTCCAGGGGCGTCCTCATCCTCGGTGCGACCAATATCCCGTGGCAGTTGGATGCTGCCATTCGTCGCCGCTTCCAACGGAGAGTCCACATCAGTCTCCCAGATATCAACGCCCGCATGAAGATGTTTATGTTGGCCGTCGGCTCCACGCCGTGTGAGATGACGCAAGCCGATTATCGGACCTTGGCTGAGATGAGCGAGGGCTACTCGGGCAGTG